TCATACTATTAAAAAAAAAAATGAAGTCCCTGATTCACAAGTAGGAAACAAGTTTTAATGTCACTGAGAAAGGCTGATTGGTACTCACTTCTGCCAAGAGAAGAAAAGCCATCTACTCTTGTTGGTAAATGTTGTGAGCATTTTCAGATGCCCCAGGAATTATTGTCTTCGAACTATACAGGCACGTCTTCAAAGGCTGAGGTGGTGTTTTGGTCTGATTATTGCTGCACTCTTTATGATGAAAATAATTTAGCTCAGAAGTTCCCAGGAACACATTTGCAGCTTAAGTTAGTGAGAATGATCAAGTTTCTCACAACAGCCTCCCAGGGGTGATAACTCTAGGGAACCCATTTTGCTTGGTTCTGTATGGGAAAGAAGCGAATGAAGTCATTTCTGTTTTCTTGGAATGTGATGTTTTATGGTGTATTAGAAAATTATAAAGTGTCAGGAAAAGATGGCATTTTGGAAGTAAGGTTACTATAGCTGCTTTTTTTAATGCTTTCCATTAATCTTTGCCTCTTTGCTGAAACCTCCATCTATCTCAGATCACAGTTTTTTTTTAAATTTCTGAATTTCCATTTCACTACAAGTCTCGTTTGTGTAATTTAGTGCTAAACTGTTCTCTAATTTTTCCATGAGTAAATCTTATCTTCCTTAAGAGATTTTTATGTCTCACATAATAAACTTGTAGTAGGCCTTTTTCATTGTGATATAATTCACATACCATAAATTCACCCTATAAAGTGTACAATTCAGTGGTTTTTAGTATTATATACATTCACAAGTTTATGGAATCATCAGCCCTGATTCCAGAACATTTTCATCACCCCAAAAAGAAGCCCTGTACCCCATTAGCAGACACTCCTCCAGCCCCTGGCAACCACTAATCTGCTTTCTGTCTCTAATGGTTCACCACCCATGGCCTCTTAGATTAAAATCCACCCGCCTTGCCCTGGCCTTAGAACTAGAACAATGGTTCTCAGCTTGTGGTTTCCAGGCCAGCAGTATCAGCATCACAAGGCAGCTGATTAGAAATGCAGAATCTCCGTTCCCTTCCCAGATGGACTGAATCCGAAACTCTGAGGGTGGGGCCAGCATCTGTGATTCACGACCCTCCATGCCAGGGTTGTGGACCAATGGCCTGTAAAGTCTCGCGTGACCCAGACTCTGAATTAATCTGTAGTGCTTTCCCCTTGCTCCCGCTACAGTGACCTTCCTCTTCCTCAGCTGTGACCCGCTTGATCCCTCTTCAGGGTCTTCCCATTTGCTCTTTCCTCCACTGGGACCTTTTCCCAGACCTTGGCTGGGCTTGTGCTCTCAGAGCTTAAGATCCTTGCATCCAAGGCCTCTCTAACACGCAGATGAAGTCGCTGCGTGCGAGCTTAGACAGGAAGACTTGCCCCCAGCCTCTTTCGCTTGTGCACCCCCCCCCAGGTTCACTCTCCGCCTTTTCCCACCCAGCTTTGTGCCCCCAGAAAGCTGGCTTCCCCTGCCTAATGACCACTAGTTGGGTTTGCCAGTGGGGAGTGTGTGTGTGTGTGGGGGGGGCGGGGGGGGTGTTGGACGGACATAGTGGGAAGGGGCTAAGCTGGGGTACGAATTGTCCTCCCACCCTCCCTGTGGGCTGACTGTCCCTCTCCACACAGCTGTGTCTCTTGAATTTTGTACCGTGTGCTGTATTTGCTATTTAGTAATGATTATCTCTACTTTAGAGCTTAGACCATAAGATAGATGGCCTGTAAATATTGAATGAATGAAAGAATGTTGAAACAGAAGCAGGATGACTGTAGCATGATAGAAGCTAAAGAAATGAGGGGAGGACACAGTCTGTAATTTCTCTGAGTCTGTGCTCTATACTCTGCTATACCGTGTATCGTACCTGAAAGAAAACTTCCTGTGAAAATAAATCAGATGTAAATCTGTAAAATGCAAGAACAGCTTCAGGATTTATTCATTCATAAACACGTACTTACTGTTTGCTTGTTAATACCGGGCTCCGTTCAAGGTGCTGAGGATCCAACATTGGACAGACAAAACTCCGGACTGTATGGAGCTCACATTCTAGCAGGGAAGACAGATGATAAAAACAAGTAAATAGAATATGTGGTATGTTGGTGACTGCCGAGAAGAGCCATAAAGCAGGGCGGCGTGTGTGCGCGTGTGGGTGAGGGTGGTGTGGAATTCTCAGGAGTGTGGCCACGAAGGCCTCACGGAGAAGCCAGCATTGGAGTAAAGACCTGAAGGAAATGGGGGAGCAAGTCTTGTGGCCCATAGGGAAGAGCATTGCAAGCAGAGGAACAGAAAGTGTGCAGGACACACGTTGGTGCCGAGAGAGGAGGGGCACAGAAGGAGGTGAGGGTTGGAAGGGAATGGGGCAGATGCTGGAGTGGGCAGCTCACTCCTCAACTCCTCCAACGAACTCCCTCTCCCTCTTCTTTCCCCTCCCTACCTGAACTACAACAATCATGCAACAAAGTAACTGGTTTTCTTCCAGAACTGGCTCTCTCATTAATCATTGAATTGTTCAGTGCGCTCGCGCACACACACGCACACGCGCGCACACACGCCTCTGTGCCCCCCACTCTCATGTAGTCACTAGATCCTGTCTTTTCTATTGAGCCTACCCTTTTCTCTCTGTCCTCCTTAACCACTGTCTTCATTCAGGTCCTCACTTTGTGCGTGAACTGCTAACTTCCTACTTGTAGGCTGTTGTAAAGATGTTGGCTTTTACTCTGACACTGAATAAACACCTAAAATCAACAGCAGCTCTTTGGGAACTTAATGACTCTTATTTTGAAGATGAGGAGGCTAAGATTCTGGGAGGTGACTGTGACTTCCCTAAGGTAGTCTAATTATTAACAAACCTGGGGTTAGGACCCAAATGCCCTGCCAGGGAATCTGCAGCAATGTCACATTGTTGGCCCAGCATCGAGGACTTCAGTGCAATTACTGAAATCACCGCAGAGCTAATCTTCATACAGGAAAGGTAGAAATGGGGTCAATTCATGCACTTGCCGTTCATACCAGTGTTAATCCTCTGGGTGTTCTGGGGAAAAGTAATCTTAATCAGAACACATCTCTCATTATTTGTAATTCTACTTTTAAATAAACAAAGCTATTGTTTTTCAGAAAGTAAAATACCAAATCGCTATTAAAGTTTGGGTTACTGTGGTTAAATAGAGCCTTTCCTGATATTCTGCTGTAAGGGACAGCTTAAAGAGTAAAGGATGGATCAGAAGAACAGAATTGTACCCTGACCCCTTCATTTTAGTAGCCACGTAGATCACTCCTCTGAGTCTTTTTTTTTTTTCTTCCCCATTTATAAAGAGAAAATAACACCTCTGCTTATCTGAGAGTTGATGTAAGTTTCTGAGATAATGTGTGTGAAAGCACTCTGAAAGATGACATTACATGGTAAGGTGCTGTTGCCTTTTATTTGTTGATACAGAGCGTGTTTAGTATATAGACTGTATATTAAGTATTTCTGTATTTAATAAACATCTCTAAGTTTTATATTTACTAGGGAAACAGTTACTATTTTTGAAGTGTTGAACTTCAAAGAAAGTTTTGGTGTGGGTTGGGAGAATAGAGGAGAGAAGTACTATTTCATACTAAAGTGTAAATTATTTCTGTCATTCAGCGTGCTGTATATTTTGCCAGAGCAACAGCTGGTGGAATTCTGTGAGCTTCGTTAACCTTTGTTATTTTTTTCAAAGCCTGATGATTTTTTTGTAACAGTTTTAAAGTGCTGCCTTGTTGGCCAAGATGAGGCCTAGAACTATGTATCTTTATGTAATCAGTTTATTAGCCAGAAAGCTTCAGAGCTCATACTGGGGAAACTACAGGTTTTTTTTTTTCCTTGTATTTATTTCAATAGTACCAACTGTTGTAATTTTTCTGGGTTACCTGCTAGTTGTAATGGGTTACCTTCTGTGTTTTCTGAGTTACCTACTTCTTTTATACACGTTTATGCAAGTTCAGAGCTTTGGTGGCAAAGAAATGGAACTTGGATTCCCTTAAGAAAGCATGGGTTATTGCAGGAAGGAGCCAGAACTTCCCCCCTACCCAAGCTGAGCCCACTGACCCAGTAGTACTTCTTCTTGTGCACGTTCTTCTTACTTGTTGAGTTGATTGAACACAAGGGTTTCCTCACTGGTGTTGGCATGAACAGTTTGTTTGCTGTTTCACTCAGTTTCTTCAGCACTGGGAATAAACAACACCGTTTTTTGGTAATTTAATAGGTGTGAAAATGTGAATTCTTTAGTAGTGTTTTTAAGATAACAGTGTCTATTTTTACTGGGAGAAAGATTGTTAATGAGTTTTAGATTTAAATCCTGTGCTGGCCTGAATGTTAATATACAAGGTCACGTATGTTTTAGCATAACAGCCAATCATTTCTACTCATACCTGTTGATGAAGTCTTATACTTTAAAGCAGGCATTTAATTTGATTAAAACATTTTACTTTTAAAAGTACAATTTTTTGAATAGGTAATATATGCACATGGTAGAAATATTAGATTTCCCTCCAAGCTCTGTCCCCTGCTCCCCATCCCCATCTTCAGAAGGAGCGCATGCTGTGTCCTCATGTACCCTTCCAAAAAGAGGCTGTGCGTAAACGAGAACAGAAGCACGCATCCCCTGACCACCCTCACATCACTGGACTGACAGGGAGATTGTAGTGTGGGTCTGGCACACTAAGTCCTGTACAAGTATTTAGTAAACAAGTCATGTAAATAAAAGGTCAGAGACTAATTTGACCTTTAGTGTGAACTGGTTAGACTGGACTCCAGGGCTCCCCCAGGGTTCCCCAGGCCCTGCTCCTGGAGGGGGCGGATTTCTGGGTACCCCCTCCCCACCTTGGGCCGGGGGACAGCCATAATGTTTTGCTGAACATTTGCCCTTGACTGAGACTGTTTGGGGAAAGAAATGTGGGTGAACAAAAAGTGACCACCATCCGCGCGGACAGTACTGCTAACGTGTTTCTCTCTTTGTTTCCAGATGTTTCTGACAGTGTACCTCAGCAACAACGAGCAGCACTTCACAGAAGTGCCAGTTACCCCGGAAACAGTATGCAGAGATGTGGTGGATTTGTGTAAAGAGCCCGGCGAGAGCGACTGCCACTTGGCCGAAGTGTGGTGTGGCTCAGGTGTGAGACCCAGGCCGCCTTGTGCTTTCGTCATTGCGTCTCTTATTATCACTGGTTTTCAGACGCGGCGGTGTGTGCTGCTCGTGTTTATCCACAGAAACTGTAGAATAGCACGTCCATCAGGAGACACAGCTTTGTTGTGACATAAAGTATTTTTGCTGTTTTCTTTTTCTGCAACACAATGAAGCCACCACATAGAAATGGTCAAAGGACAGGTGGCTGACACACCAGGTGGAAGCTTCTGGGGTGTTACGGTAAAATGTATGGTGCCCCGTTTTTTTGTATGCTTAGGCTTTGCTAAAGTAGAAATTCGAGGCATCCTGATTGTTTTTGCCCTCTTGAAGTTTTTGTAGGTCTTTCGGGAAAGCTATTCAAGGTTATTAGGAAAAGCTATTCAGTGTTGGCAGGAGGCAGTGGTGAAATCATAGGCTTTATTTTAACCTTAAAATCAGTCCCTCAGGATAGTTCTTTGGAACTCTAAGATGGGACGGCCTTGTTTCTTTTGGGCCCCGTGGGAGTTTGTAGGTGTGGGAGTCATTTTTCATAAGCTCGGCCTTGTTCCTGTACAGCCTGGGTGAACTCCCACTGTCTCCTTTTGCTGCTCTGGGGGTGCCAGGTCACACACTGTGTTAATCGGGTTCACACCATTCATGAGACCTGACTTCAGCTGAGCGCTCCCTTCTTACCAGGCAAGTCCTCTTATTCACCCTGACTTCCCTGCAGGTGGGTGTTTAGAGTGCCTTCTGCACTCACCTGGAATTGCTTACTCTTCACCTTCACATACAGCTGGATTAGGCCATTTGCATGAAGAAACCCAAGCAATCCTTTTTAAATGAAAATTTGATAGTTTGACTTTCCTATTGAAACTCTGGAGTGGTTTTTTTTTCTACTTAGAATAAAATCCAATCCCTTGACCTTAGACTGTGAAGTCTTATAGGGTTGTTATAATTTGATACCATTTCTTTCCTTGCCCCCTCCTGCATCTTTTTTTTATGTTTCTGAATAAACCAAAAAGTAAGCTCTTTCCCACTTGAGAGCCGTTGGCACTAGCTGTTCCCATGATCTGCATCACCCTCCCTGCGTATTTTGTCATTGCGGATCCTTCAGGTCATTTGGATTTCAGTTAAAACGTTACCTCCTTGGAGAGGCTGTTTTGAGCATCTTGCTAAGCTCTCTATTATATCATCCTGATTTAATCCTCTCTATAACACGTCACTTTTATATGCCTCTTTAATCCTTCAAGCCCCAAACACATGCACTAGTAGGTAAACTCCCTGAATAGAGACCCTGTTTATCTTGTTCCATGCTGTACCCAGTTCAGGGACAGTGCCTGGTCTCCAGTGGGTGCTCAGTAAATATTTACTGAATGCGTAAATGAGCTCCTAGTTGCTTCTGGTCGCCTCCTTGCATTCAGCAAACTACCTTGCTTTATGTTTTACAGAGATGGTTGAAACCACTCTTTGGAGTCCCGCAGTTTCCTTCCTGGGTACTTGCAGTCTCTCTGACTGTGTGCCTACCCTTTCTTCTGATTTTCTTAGAGGAAGAACTGTTCTTCCTCTTTCCAAGGCTCACTGTCTTCCCTGAAACTACTGGTGCCCCTACTCCCTTGCCTCACTAATATCTTTCTCACTTGTGTTCAGTAACCCTTAAATGTGGTGATGATGTTTAATGGATTTTCTTCGAGTTTTTTTTAATTAAAAAAAATGACAAATGACACTTGGATGTGTTCTTTTTGTAAAAGAGAAAATTATATAGTAGATAGAAAGGAAGTCTCTTTCCCAAACCCATCCCCTGACCACTTGATGTAATCGCTTATATATATATATTTTTTTTTTTTAAAAGATTTTTATTGGGGAATTGGGGGGATGGGAACAGTGCTGGGAAGTTGGGGGAAGAGGAACAGACAAGTTGCTGTCCTTTTGTTCTTCAGTCTAGTTGTGGAGGACGTTGCTTCACTGGCCCAAGTTGGCACCATCATTGCGCTCTTCCCGAGCGAGGCAGATCAGTCGCCAGCCTCTGGACGGCCGCTCACTGTGGCTGCTGGCTGCTCACGCTGGCTGCTGGTTACACATGGTAGCCCATGGCAACCCACTGCCACAGGGACTGCAGCCTACGCCGTCACCGGCAACTCACGACTGCCCAGCTCCAGGTTGAGCTGTTGTTCAGCATCTTAGCTGTGGAGAGCAGGGCAGTGTCACTGGCCCTCATATGTGGGATCCGAACCGGGGCCCTCTGGCGTCCCAAGCCAGTTCTTAACCATCGCACCACTCGGCCGGCCCATCGCTTATATTTTTAGCAGATAACTTTTCAGACTTTTCCTCTGCATTTATGTGTAACTGTAGAAATAGTTTTGTAGATTGTCTCTTCCTGTTTTCTTCTTTATGTAAATAGTGTCATACATATGAACACCCTGCAATTGACTGTTTTGCCTTACAACATAGCTTGGAGCTCTTTTCAGGTTAGTATGTATAAATATCTACATCATTATTTTAAATCATAATTTTCCATCATATGCATCAGCTAGAGTTGATCTAATTTCTTTATTCACAAACATTTACATTAATTTCACTCTTGTTTTTATAAATGCTGCTATAAAAATCCTTTTAGGAGCTTCTTGATCACTTGCAAGCATTTCAGAAGTGGAATTGCCTAGTTAAGTGGTCACACATTAAAAAATTTTTATTGGCAGATTTCCCTCAGCAAAGGCTATAGAAGTGTACACTCCTACCAGTTATTTTTAATAGTATCCCTTATCAACAATGGATACAATATACATTCCATTTTTTTACAAATTGGTAGTTATAAAATAGTCACGGGAATGTAAATTACAGCATAGAGAACATGGTCAATAATGTTGCAAAAACTATGTGTAGTACCAGGTGGGTACTAGACTAATCGAGGGGATCACTTCAGAAATTATATAAATGTCTAACCACTATGTACACCTGAAACTAATGTAAAATAATATTGAATGTCAAAAAATTACTATTCTTACAACAATAATAATATATTAATTTTTGCTAACCTGATACTGCCCATTTTTTTATTAGGTTATTGGCCACTTGAGTTTCTGTTTTTAAAAATTTTTTTTCTCCATAGCCTTTGCTCATGTTTCCTTTGGCTTTTGCCTTTTCCCTCTTGACCTATAGGCATTAAACAAAACAAATGAAAAACCCCTGTATTCTGGACCTCAGGCATATTTGTGGGAAATCCCCTAAACATACTCTCCTGTTATTTCATACTACAAGTTTTAAAGTCTCCCTTTCCTCCTTTCCCCTCCCTTCCTCGCCCCTTCCTCGTTAATATTTGTGACTAGTGTGAATTAGGGATTTAATATTTTTTCCCAAGTGGATAGTGAATCTTCTTAAGTGCCTTACTGAACAGTTGGCTTCTTCCTCACTGCTGTGACCCATCACTTCATATCTTATGTTTATATCTCACCTAAAGTTATGTTTCTTTCAGATTTAGTCAGTTTGTTTTAGTTGTTTCTTCTTGTTTAGGACAGAACCAGTTTTAATTACTATAGTTTCATAATGTATTAGGTATCTTTAAGGCAAGAGCTTATTTCATTCTTCTGCTTTTTTTCAAAAGAAATACCTGAGATATTCTTGTAGATTTTCTTTTTCGGATAAATTTTAGAATTTCCTTGCAACGGTTCTGTGAAAAATCCTGTTGAGATTTTGATTGACTGCAGTGAATTCATAATTAATTTGAGGGCTGTCTGTGTGGTGGCGTGATTAAGAGCAAGGTCTTGGGTATCAAAATGCTGTCTCTGTCATTTACTAGCTTTATAATTTAATGCAAGACATTTTAACCTCTGTGATCCTCCAGTGTTTTATCTGCAGAATTGGGATAATAATTGAGTGTGTCTCATAGGACTGTGTGAGGATTCCAGGAGATAATATTTGAAGGGGGCTTAGTGTAGCCCCTGGCACATTTAGTGTTATTAACTCTCAGTAAGTAATAGCTATTATGTTTTCAGCTCCTTTTTTTTTTTAAAGATTTTTATTGGGGAGTTGGGGGATGAGAACAGTGCTGGGGAATTGGGGGAAGGGGAACAGACAAGTTGCTGTCCTTTTGTTCTTCAGTCTAGTTGTGGAGGACGTTGCTTCA